CACTGCTTGTGTCCAGGGAGTCTTGTCAAAGACCCAAGGTCCAAGGCTTCTTGGGCTGGTGGTATAGGCACCCTCTGCCATGTGGCCAACAGCAAGGAGTCATTTATAGGTTGTAGCCATTGAAATTTGAGGTTTGAATCCACATGAATAGAAAAGAGCCACATGATGATTTTAAAAAGATGAAAGTTACTATAAAATTACAGCAGATATAAGCATAGTCATATAATATATCACCAGACAACGAGGCAGGAGACAGCACCAAAGATGAAGGATCTTGCAAGAGATGGAGCCTTCGGCAGGTGAGAGAAAATGTCACACCACATTCAGTTTCTTCAGACAAAAATGATTTGGTGCCAATAGGCCTGTGTGGTTGGAAGGGCTTGTTCCCAGCCTTGGTTAGAGCCTGGGAATGATCAGGTTGTGTGTGTGTGTGTGTGTTTTATATGTGTTAAAAGCTATCTCTATACCTTCCTTTCTCAGGAGATAGCCTCCTTGAAGAAATGAATGCAAGCCAAGGTCGTTCAGTGAACACATGCATTTCACCAACTCTCATCACTTTTAACCCTTTCTCCGACACCAATCTTGATGATTTAAATTCCAAACTGTTGAAGGTAGGACTTCACCAGAAATGGCATTGTTTGTACAGTCTAGGCAAGGAATCTAGTAGGATTCAGTGTCTCAGGAAGACAAAAGAGCCTTTTCAGTTAAAATGATAGGTTACCTTCCAAAGGCCAAGTTCTCAGAGGTCAGGCAAGCACCAGTCCCATCGGCTGTGAAGAGCAACATCCGGCTTCTGGGTTCACCTGCTCCTGCACATGTCTAGCCAATTCTTTTATTATTTTTAATTTGGTTGTTAGTCATGTTTTTGTTAAGAGATTTTTACATCCTCTAGAGACAAGCAATTTATTAGCTACATATTTGGCAAATGTTTCTTTTCAGTCTGTAGCTTGTCCTTTTATCTTCTTATTCATGTCTCCCAGAAGGAGTTCAAACAGCAAAGTGCTATGACTGGATTTGCACGCACACAAAATGCCTATGTGGAGAATGGTTGCAGGCTCCAGGAGTAGGCTGAGGATCCCTGATAGGAGGTCACTGCAGTGATGGGAGTGAGAGCCGATGGCAGATCAGACTGGAGGTGAGAGAGGGTGAGAGAAGTAGGTGCAAATAAAGTGGGTAGAGCAGGTAATAGAGACAGGGATAGAAGCGCATCATTGACTTCTAGCAGGAGGGAGAGTTGCCAAGCCTCCCCCAAGTTGCTAAGACATAGTATTCTTGTTTTTAAGAGTAAAACTCCAGGGCTGGGGATGTAGCTCAGTGGTTCCGCCACCTGCCTTGCAAGCACAAAGACCCGAGTTTGATTTCTGGTACAAAAAAAAAAAAAAAAAA